TTTTCCCGGTTAGTAATTTACCATACCCACCCCACTCCCCATATAGAAAACAATACGACATAGGGCCTATCTTATTTATAATATAGGCCACACACGTGTGTTTGAAACTAAATATAAGCATTTTCATCATTTATTTATTAGAAACATATTCTTTCAGCATCAATGGGCCTCAGCATTGAGGCCCTTCTTTTAGGTTAAAACGATCTATCTTAAATTTGTCTTTCTTGAGTTTGGGACTATTATGTGTTTAAATAACTTAAAAGGATAAACCTAAAAAATGCACGCGAAGCGCGCAAAATATTTTGTGTTTTTAATTCTAATTTCGTCGGAATTGATGAAAACTCCCTAAAATGTGCAATTTATAGAGGAAATTTGCCTACCGTAAAAAGAAATGCGCGCAAAGAATTTGAGAATTTTAGGGACTTTCAGAGGATGCATTTGTCAAGGGGTGGGGAAAGATTTTCCAAAGATGGATATTTTCCCCTTGTCCCCCGGTGTTTTTAATTCTAATTTCGTTGGAATTGATCAAAACTCCCTAAAATGTGCAATTTTTAGAGGAAATTTGCCCATGTTAACAAGAAATGCGCGCGAAATTTGAGGTTTTTAGGCACTTTGAAAAGGGCATTTATAAAGGAGTGGGGAAGATTTTTCAAAGATAGATATTTTCCCCTTGTCCCCCAGTGGTTACGCCATCGGGCAGCATAGGTCAAAGGAGTTATGACAGTTTTTTTGAAGTGGAGAAGGGGTTGCAGGGTGTTGTGAGTCTGGTCATTATGATATCTTCCTTCTTATATTATCCATGTCTTTATTTTTCTCTGCTCTCTTTCTTTCCTTTTCTTTTCCTTTTCTTTCTCTTTCCCTCCCTCTCCCCTCTTTACTTTCAAATGGGTAGCACAGTTGGTATCGCAGTTTTTCAAATGGGTAGCACAGTTTTTAAAAATAGGTATCGTAGTTTTTCAATTGGGTAGCGCAGTTTTTCAAATGGGTAGCGCAGTTTTTCAAATGGGTACAGTGGCGCCGAGAGGCCGGGGCTTACGGGGCAAGAGCCCAGGGGCCAGGCCCAACAGGGGCCCAGTCTGCTAGTCTATTTTTTTTTATATTTAAAAAAAAGTCTTATTCCCTTCACGATGAAACTAACCAGGGATATTTTGCTTTAATATTACTAAATAGACTAGCCATAATATCGTAGAACTTCGAAGAAAAACATCTTGTCATCTTCAGTGATTTGTGGCAGTGACAGTTGTCTCTCCCTTGTTGGGGCCGGGCAGCAAATCTGCCCCGGACTCTCTGGTCGTTCTCGGCGGCCCTAAATGGGTAGCGCAGTCTTGTAAATAGATAGCACAGTCTTACAAATGGGTAGCACAGACTTTCAAATGGGTAGCACAGTTGGTATCGCAGTTTTTCAAATGGGTAGCACAGTTTTTCAAAATAGGTATCGCAGTTTTTTGTAAATGGGTAGCACAGTCTTGCAAATGGGCAGCGCAGTCTTGTAAATGGATAGCACAGTCTTACAAATGGGTAGCACAGACTTTCATATGGGTAGCACAGTTGGTATCGCAGTTTTTCAAATGGGTAGCACAGTTTTTAAAAATAGGTAGGCCTATCGCAATTTTTTGTAAATGGATAGCACAGTCTTACAAATGGGTAGCACAGACTTTCAAATGGGTATCACAGTTGGTATCGCAGTTTTTCAAATGGGTAGCTCAGTCTTATAAATTGATAGCACAGTCAAAAATGGTTAGCACAGACTTTGGGTAGTATGGTACAGTTTTCCAAAATAGGTATCGCAGTTTCTTGTAAATGGGTAGCACAGTCTTACAAATGGGTAGCACATACCTTCAAATGGGTAGCACAGTTCTACAAAATATGTCTCACCGTTTTTCAAATTGGTATCGCAGTTTTTCAAATGGGTAGCGCAGTCTTGTAAATGGAAAGCCTAAGTCTTTCAAATGGAAAGCGCATCATTTAAAATGGATAGCACATAGTTTTTCAAAGGTAGTACACAGTCTTGCAAAGGGGTAGCATAGACTTTCAAATGGATAGCATGCGCTTCGCAGTTTTAGCGCAGTTTTTTAAATGGAAAGCGCGCAGACTTTCAAATGGATAGCACAGTTTTTCAAAGGTAGGGCAGTCTTGCAAATGTGTAGCACAGAATTTCATATGGATAGCAGAGGGATAATATGACAGACAGAGACAGAGCACATAGCCCCTAGGTAGCCGAACCCTTAAGTTAAGGGGCACCATCTTGACCAACAAAAAAGTGTCCCCTTAATAGGGGTGTCACCTGCATATGGCTATCACTATTTAGGTATCCCCTTAATAGGGAGTTTTCTTTAAAATCTCTCAGGCAAATGTCTTAGTTTTGGTGATGCCATTGTGGTATATGATGGGTAGAGTAATGGGAAACTATACTTCAGAATAATATGATATTGATTAAAATATAGGCCTAAAACTAATAAACCATTACTTAAATAAAATAATCTTTTCACTGTAAAAAATTTGAACTTTTTTGATGAAAAATTTCATCTTATATTTTGTTTACATTCATCACCAAATTTATCATCAACGTTACTATTTTTAAGAGGTTATCACGTCTAAGGTCAACTGGACTCCTGAAATGATGAACTGATTAATAGAAAACCTTGTGTAAAACGTTTAAAAAAAAACATTTATTTCGTGCTCTCCAGCACCTACTTAATAGGGACAGCATTTTTACATATATAGGTATTTAACACAAATTAAAAATTCGTTTGATGACTTTTCTTTTGTGATTTTTCCCCGGAGGTGCTACCACTGCCTAAAATTGCTGTTTGAATAACAGTGTGATATCACGATAAGACTGATTCGTTACGTTACGTAATGTTCGATTGTGTTATTCTCATAGAGTGTTGGATGAGTACTTTCGTAAAATAAATGTGAGACAGTCTCGATTACATACATTGCTATAAATTTCGGGAACATAAAGAATGAAAGTTTTTGCACCCACCCCAACAATTTTCTGCATTGAAGGGCAAATATTTGTTTAAGTGTAATAACCATTTGTATATAGATTATAGCTACATTTTTGTCGTTTTGGGGGATTGTGCCCCCTCACTAATAGAGGTTGAACCAATCATCTGACACACTCCACATAATATTAAGGGTGTCCCCGCAACAAGGTTTGGCCGTAGTGTTAAAAGATATATTTCCCCTCATTTCGCAGAAGAGTGTTCCCTTAATATTAATAACTGAATTTCGTTCAAGTTGTCGATAAGCCGGGTAAGTTAGCTGCAGTGTTGTTAGCATCTGAGCATTTGTACCGGTATATGGAATACATAATAATAATAGTAATAATAATAATATGAAGGGTCTAATTATAAACCAGTGCAATTTGAAGCAAAATGAATTCTTGTCGTAAAATTACTGGTTAAAGTATTTACGTGATTCTATTGCTATCAATTAATTATTGAAGTATGTTGGATAAAATGAAGTCGTATTTTTTCCGCTTCAGATAGTTTATGTTCATTTACCAGGAAACTGGTTAATAATAGAAAGTTCTTAAACTTATGTTGATATAAAATGGATACGAATTAACCATCATAGGAAACATGTATTATTGCTTTCTAATTTTGCTTTCAATTATACAGCAGCACTTGCTTGAAATATGGATCACCCAAGAAAGCCTGAAATGGACTTTTTTTTCATGCAATGGCACGTTACGTGTACTAGGACATTTGTGATTTTAATTTACATGAAAACTTTTCAATTTCAACATTTTTTTTCCTCTTTCTATTCCACTTTATTAAATTAAATTTGGTATTTGAAAACTGATTTTGAGTTTGATATAAATCAGAGAATAATCCTGTCATTGAGTTACTGTAGGCCTACGGTATGATTTATACCGCGGATTTTTCCAAAGACAAGTATCAATTGACGTGTCGTTAACATTAGTAATTGTATTATAGACTAAAAAGTATATACATACTCAAAGCAATCAAACACGCCATCGTGTATTATGTAACATCTCGTAATTAAAGAGATGTCGAGTAGCGCTAAGTACTGATTTCAACTTTGCGTTCATTGGCCGATGAGAGTGACACTACGTCACAGATTTCCAAGCACTGCTCCCTTACCAGAGATGGCAACGTCACGATTTCAACTACGCGTTTATTGGTCAATGAGCTTTTTGACAAACACTCCCAATCACCTTGAAATCAACAGTGCTAAATGGGTTTTTAATAGGAACACCATGGTAACGCACAGATCAGAAGATCGCCGCTTATCATAATCTAACGTCAGTTTATCGAGGGCGGGTCGAGCTAATAAGGGAGATAACCAGTACTGGATTTACAGTCACAAAAGAATCTTACCATTAAAATAATGAGGGTATTGAATTTGAAAACAAAAGGGTGATTATTAAGTCAGGTTAGGGGATTATCGGTGACAGTTCAGCGACTGTAAATTTGGTGACTAGTTTGAATTGTACGCGGGTAGCTATTTTTTCCCCAACATTTACATGAAACTCCACTCGGGCCGTCTCGCTCGACTAAAATCGACTCGAACTCCTATGTATTGCAGAATTTCAGGAGGTCAAAAGGTCATCTACAGATAAACCAGGTCATTCAACTCCCCAAAACGTCTCCAACTTTATGGAAAAAGAACTTGATACTGTACTCTAATTATGTTCATAATAATTAGAAAATAAAAAATTATCATTTGGGCCTACATCTCTTTTCCTTTTTTCTTTATTATTAAAAAAAAAAGATCAAATATAATTAGGCCTAGTTTCTTTTGAATTAAAAAGAATGAACTATTTTATGTACAGTATATTTGCAATAAAGTTATATTATGTATGCAGAGTCCTTGTCAAAAATATATATAAATAGACAAAAATATTTATAATTAATATAATTATATATTGTATAAACAATAAAATTAGGCTACGTTTTTCCATAAATTACAACGGACCTTCAGCGGCTCTTTTCGTCATTAGCAATCAAATCAAGGTATTCAGAGTGTGGTTTGTAGTGTTTTTAAGTTGCCTCGCACTTTTGGTACAATACTGCAATTTTCGTCCTGCCTCGCATGAAATGCAGTTGACGTGGTCACGAGGGTAGATGGCTTGCATGAAACGCATGCCTCGCTGACTCGCAGTTTGTCAACCGATCAGATCACAGAAGAAATTTTATTTTCCGAAAATTTAGGATACTCTCTCCAAAGTAATATAAATATGAGTATACTAAATGACTCTGCGTACTACCTCGAGGCTTATGAAGAGTTTTCATCACGTTATGATAAATGCAGTACAATTGGAGATTTGACTGAGTTGGTGTTTGTAAAATCTGTTGTGGAAAAAATAAAGACAAAAGACACTAAAATTCGAATGTTGGGGATTGGTAGCTCTTCGGGTAAGAAACTCAAAATTGAAGTTTTCAACTACAGTTTTTTTAAATTTTTTTATACCTATATATAGTACACCCTAAATTGCAACACGTCATTTAATGTAACAACTGCTCTGGTTATAGCTTTTGATATAACTGGTTTTAGCCTTTGATAATAATATATTATATCAGAACAAGCACAACACATGATAGTAAAACATGAAATAAATATCAATCATCTTTGAAGTCAAAGTCGTAATTAAAAAACTATTACCGGTGATAGTTTGTCTGTCAGTTAATTTTCACACATCAGAAGCTGTAAAAAGTACGGTACCGTAACACAATAATTAGCTGTAAAAACATAACCGCATAAATCTAAGAATGAGCAATGCATCTGTCTCCTTCACCTGCAAATACTGTAGAAAAGAATAAATTTTGTATGTGGTCCATCAAATAAACTTATTAATAACCTAATTGCAAAATAAATATAGTAAATAAAAGTGAGTGACACAAAATGCATATTATTTACTCATGTTTCATAAAATAGAAGAAAATTTTGTATTAATAAATACAAGTACATTTAATTTTATTTTAGGTCATGTCTGTCTAGAGCAAAAAAGAAAGGGAAAAAAACCCCACAATAATTAGCGAACGCGATCTCATTGCGCAACAAACGCTCCACCACTTATTTTAACCAACTATGGTGGGGCTGAGGTGGGCGTGGTGGCGTAAACTTAATTCTACTTTAATTTGTAATAGAGATTATTGTGGTATTAAAATGAAAGTGATAATGATAATATTATCAATGTAATATTAATATTTTAGTGAATAATAAAGATAATGATGATGATAATGACGACTATATAACACTACCAATATTGTCCAATATTACTTAGGTCTGGTATAAATATTTGCTACCGATACTTTGTTTCTATATTCTTCAACCCTTGATTGTTTTTCCAACTTCATTTTTGTTTTTCTTTATGACTATTTTATCTGCAGGTCGAATCGAGATTATGTTTATTAAGCGATTATTAAATCGTTTTCCAATCATTGAGAACACGGTTGTTGAACCAAGTGCAAAAGCGACTGCCGAATATCAAAGCTCAATAAAAGGCATGTGGAAGAACGTTGAGTTTTCTTGGTTCAACGGTACATTTCAGAAGTTTAGAGAACAACTTGAGTCAGCTGGAAATAATCAGACATTTCATCATATCAGTTTAGTGGATTCAATATATTATGTGGACAAGCTAAAAGAAGACATTGTATTCATGTACGATAGATTAGAGCAAGGGGGAATAATGCTTATTTCGGTTGAATCTGGTAAGCCTTTGTATAACTGCTTTCTGGCACATACTGCACTACTAATACCTTACATACCAATGCTGCTACTAATCTGCTGGTGCTGCTACTACTACTGCTACTAAACTGTCATTGCCACTGCTACTGCTACTCTATAACTACAATTACAGTATACTTTACTTCTTTATTTTCTAGATCAAGGTTCAATGTATAAAATTAAGCAAAGGTATCCAAATTTGTCATCGGAAATCAACCTGGTTAGTTCCACCGAAGTCATTGATGTTTGCAAGGCTCACCAAATCCCATTTCATCTCCACCGAGAAGAGGGTTATGTTGACATAACAGAACTGTTTTCTTCCAAGAGCATCACACGAAATGAACAGCTGCTGCTAGATTTTTGGGTTCAAATGAAAAATTTCAAGGAAAATGTGCCGGAAAGTTTGTATGAAGAAGTAATTGCGTTCATCAAATGCCCAGCTTGTTCAGAGAAACTTGAAGGCAAATTAAGGTTTCGGGCTGATACTGACATGATATTTATCCAAAAATAGTATAAATAAGTATATGTATTGAGGTTTTGTGTATAGTGCATTAAACTATTAAATGTGAATAAATAACGTATGGTATATGTGGTACAGTATATAAATCTTCGCATGATAACATCCGACATCATAATTCTCAAAATGTTCGTAATGTATTTATCTATATATTCAATTTTTATATTGTTTTTATACTATATGTAATGCTTTATTATGATTTATCCTTTTTAAAAACTGTAATAATAATATAGGTAATAATGAAGACAGTACAATATAAAATTGTTAAATTAACGAGATAATCCCTGCCATACATAAAATGCTTCTTATGGATTCGCCAAAGGTTGCGAATATGCAAAAAGCATGACTTACAAACGGAGAAAACAAAAGACAAAATAGGCCTATTATCATTATCACTTTCATTTTAATACTCTATTACAAATAAAAGTAGAATCTCTTCATTGGAACTTTTATTAGTAGAGCTTTCGATTGCACGACGACGATAGGACGTAGAACGTAATGATGTCACTGCGCATAACGTTAAGGACACCTCGTCGAGTAGATTCTGGAACTGGAACGCAATTTAGAACCGAGAGAACGTAGGAAGCCAGGTAGGATGGTCACGCATGAGTGATTCCGTTCTAGCGTCGCGTCGTCGCACAAATCGAAAGCTCCCTATTTATTCGGTAGGTTGCTATACAACGGGTTCAGTCGAGGGGCGTGGCTTCGTATGTTGACGTCATGCATTCAGTTATAGTTCGTCTTGGACATAGAGTAGGCGCTGTCTTTTATCACACAGCATAGCAAGACACAGCAACTCCATGGTACAATTACCAATATAAGAAAAAATAAGTTGTCCCTATGTAATTTTCTTTCCAAAATTAGGATCCCTGGAATATTATCAATTTATGGGGTCTACACAGAGTAAAATAATACATAGGCTTAGTTATTCCTATTTTAGCGGTATGGATTAGGCCGTAATCACAAAAAGAAATGAAAACAATTCAATGGCCTATACTACGTACTTAGTCTGTGGATTTTTCAACCTAATCCCATGAACAAATTATCTTACTGGAAGAGAAAATGGGCCTAATAAATTAAAATTACAACTTATATTAAAACATAACTGCTGAAGTTAAGATTTATTACTTTTTTAATGTTTCACAAAATTGCCGGCTATATTACACAAAAAGAGAAGGGGAACAAAATGTTAAATATTAATTAATAAATATTAATTAATTGAATTAAATATATTAACTTACCAATGTCTGTATTGCAATTTGTATTGTATAAATTAATGTATTAAATAACAATTAGGCCTATTCTTTAGTAGCCTAGGGCCACATTCTGCATATAGGTCTAAGGCCTAGAC